TTAATAATCGAATTTTTAGTCGGTAAGTTAAACCCAGTACATTTTTTTCATTATTTTACGAAAAAATAACGAAAATGTACTGGGTTTAACTTACCATCTATTAAATTTGATAATCAATACAATTAAATATCTTATGATTTGCGAAAAAAATAACGAAAATGTACTATATTTAACTTACCGACTAAAAATTTGATAATTAATATAATTAGATATCATTAGATATTTGCGAAAAAATAACAAAAAATTTACGAGATTTAACTTACTCCTTATTAATTCTGACAATCAATACAATTAAATTTCATTAATATTATTTTACGAAAAAATAACGAAAATCTACTATATTTAACTTACCGGCTAAAAATTGTACAATCAATACAATTAAAACTCATTTCATATTACAGCATTTTACAAAAAAATAACGAAAATGTACTGAATTTAACTTACAGACTAAAAAATTTAATAATTAATATAATTAAATATCATTTCATATTTTACAAGAAAATAACGAACATGTATTGAATTTAACTTACCGACTAAAAAATTTGATAATTAATACAATTCAATATCATTTTCTATTTTGCAAAAAAATAATGAAAATGTATCGGATTTAACTAACTCTCTATAAAATTTGACAATTAATACAATTAAATATCATTTTGTATTATTTTACGAAAAATAACGAAAAAAATGTACTGGGTTTAACTTACCGACTAAAAATTCGATTATTAATAAAATTAAAACTCATTTCATATTATTTTACGAAAAATGACGAAAATGTACTGGATTTAACTTACTCTCTATGAATTTGACAATTAATATAATTAAATCTCATTTAATATAATTTTGTGAGACAAATAGCAAAATATACTGAATTTCAACTTACCATCTATTAAATTTGATAATCAATACAATTAAATCTCATTTAATATTATTTTACGAAAATAAAGAAAATGTACTGGGATTAACTTACTAACTATAAAATTTGACAATTAATACGATTAAATCTCATTTTATGAAAATAACGAAAATGTATTGGATTTAACTTACAGTCTATAAAAATTGACAATTAATACAATTAAATATCATTTCATATCATTTTACGAAAAAATAACGAAAAAAATGTACTGGATTTCAACTTACCGACTAGAAATTTGACAATTAATATATAATTAAATATAATTTCATATTGTTTTACAAAAAAATAACGAAAATTCACTATATATAACTTACAATCTACAATAGTAGAGAATAATGATACAGTTAAATCTCATTTCATACGGTTTTTCAAACAAGTAACTAAAGTGTACAGGATTTAACTTACAATCTATAAAATTTGACAATTAATACAATTAAATATCATTTCATATAATTTTATAAAAAAATAGCGAAAATTTATGAATTTAACTTACAAACTATAATAGTAGAGAATAATAATACTGTTAAATTTTATTTCGTAAGGTTTTGGAAAACAAAGAACGAAAATGTACTGGATTTAACTTACAATCTATAAATTCAGACAATTAATACAATTAAATCTCATTTCATATTATTTTACGAAAAAACAACTAATATTTACTATATTTAACTTACCGACTAAAAAATTTGACAATTAATACAATTAAATATCATAGTTTTGCGAAACAAATAACGAAAATGTACTGGTTTAACTTGCCATCTATAAAATTTGAAAATTAATACCATTAAATATCATTTCATATTATTTTTCGAAAACAACAAAAATGTATCGGATTTAACTTACTTTCTATAAAATTTGAAAATTAATACAATTAAATCTCATTTCATATTATTTTACGAAAAAATAACTAAAATGTACTAGATTTAACTTACCGACTAAAAAATTTGACAATTAATGCAATTAAGTATCATATTATTTTGCGAAACAAATGACGAATATATGCTAGATTTAACTTACAATCTACAAAATTAATACAATTAAATATCATATGATTTTGCGAAACAAATGACGAAATGTACTGTATTTAACTTACCAACTATAAAATTTGAAAATCAATACAATCAAATCACATTTCATATTATTTTACGAAAAAATAACGAAAATATGCCGAATTTAACTTACAATCTATAAATTTGACGGTTAATACAATTAAATTACATTTTCATATTATTTTACGAAAAAATAACGAAAATGGACTGGATTTAACTTACTCTCTATAAAATTGACAATAAAATTAAGCCTCATTTTATTTTATTTTGCGAAAAATAAACGAAAATGTACTGGATTTAACTTACTCTCTATAAAATTTGAAAATCAATACAATTAGATCTCACTTAATATTATATTACGAAAAAATAACGAAAAAAATATACTGGATTCAACTTACCAACTAAAAATTTGACGATTAATATAATTAAATCTCATTTCATATTATTTTACGAAAAAATAACGAAAAATTTACTGGATTTAACTTACAATCTACAACAGTAGAGAATAATAACAATTAAATCTTATTTCATATGAATTTCCAAAAAAATAACAAAAATGTGCGTATTTAACTTACTTCCTATAAAGTTTAACAATTAATACAATTAAATCTCATGGTTTTACAAAATACCTAGTGAAGTTTTCTTGATTTCGATACCTTCTAAAAGTATTATTATTAAGAAAAAAAATTACACTTAAAAACTTTACTGAAATAATTCGTTGAAATTTTAAAAGACTAACCTTCTGCTGCTTCTATCAATTTTTTTGCATCTTCTGAAATCATCATACACTATTAGAGTCAAATAATTAATAACTGCGTGGCTTCTATGAAACAAATTGTACAGTACGTACAGTGTTAGTCGTGTAACCTTATGAATAACGCATGAACTAATATAAGAAAAAATTGCAGTTGTGTAACAGCTACAGGCTTTTACAGTATACACATTTTGCACTTTGAGTATCGACTTCGATACAGTGATATGAGTATATAAAGCTTCCTCAAAGAGTATCAAAAAAATAGTAGCGATTAAAAAGTTAAATTTTTTGAGAAACTTCCGCAAATATATTTCTTAGAGGGTACAGTATTTATTTATTATACGTATATGTTGTATAATGAATAATACTTAATGTAAAAAATTCTGTGTAGCTTATGTTGCATCAAGATGTTAACTTGATAACACTTTACGACTTTATGGAATTTATAAGAAAGGAAATATTCGCGCGATGATTTTAAACGCATACGTTTATACAAAAAACTGTAGCTAATATAGAAAATCATACAGGTGTTTATGGAATATTTCGATGGAACTTTACAACAACACCTTAAAGAGAACACAAACCATTAATTAAGAATGGCTAAACAAATTACAAACACAATTTTGTATTTACACAGGAAAGATATCATTCATAGGGATTTAGTAGTTTTACTTATAGTTAATATTTTATAGTAACTATATTTTAAATTAATCAAATTTTATTTTTAGCGCTCAGGAAATATTCTTATCAGGAGTGAAAACATAAAGCTTGCTGATTTTGTGTTGTCTAAGAATCGAGTGACGTTATACTTAGTGCTCCGAATGAGTCTGAATAAATTGGTCTGAACTCGTTTGCATATACAGGGAGGAAAAAAATTATGCAACGCTTTTTTTTATTTTAATCCCTTGTCGACGCTATACATATGTAATGGGGGGTGACAAGATTTTTCAGTCTTGACTAATGTATCGTCATTTTTTTAGTGCGCGAACATGTAAAAATTGGGTATATTTTTTTAAATCATATAAATCCGTATATTTTAGAAATAGTCGGATTATATTATAATATGGACTTAAAGAATGATCTCCATATTTATACGGATTACTGTATCAGGTCGGGCGTTATCAACATGCCCTCCGTGCCATGGGGCACAACTGTCCTGTTTGGACTATGGGAATAAGTTCATTAAACACGTTCAAAGAACATTTATTTTTCTCTAAAACTAGACTACCTGTTGAAAGGATCGAGAAAATTTCCCTTTATTATTTTGATCCATTCTATCGATTGTGAAGAATTTTCCACCCAAGTAAAAAAGCTTGAGAAAAAAGAAAAAAGGTAGTGCAAAAACCTACATTTGGTCAGTATGAAACGTTAAAAATACCATAAGGTGTGAGTCAGGGGCAGGGAAAAGGGTCAATGTGTGAAATTTATAAGCAGATCATATGCAACCATTCAGGTAAAGTTTTTGCACAGAAAAATTGTCTTCAAACATATTAAACAAACCAATTTTTTGCATAGATCACTGGAGAAAATTGTGACCCCATTCGGCAAGAAAGTAAGCCTGCCTTGTCGACCGATTTTATTGATAACAGTGTGGGACGTAATATGACTTCTTTGGACGTACTATATCAGCTGACCCCCTCGGAAATCCACGCTACAGGAGCAGAACAAATACTTTGCAAAAGGTCTGGAACTCTTGGCTGAGAAGATATTAAACATGTAACCAACCTTATTGTACCATCCTCGAACAGTAAATCTCACATATTCGAAACGAAAAGGGAAAATATTGAGGTTCATGTTCGGTGCGTCGATTCGTTGCAGACTAGCGAGAAGGCAAGCGCCAACATCGATAGTAAAAAACAATGAAGATATTATAATGGGGTTCGGAGCCTGCCCTAACCAAAGAACAATTGGCGAACTGCAGACATCCTTTGGAAAATTGTTCAGAATCGGTACCATGGGAGACGTTACGTGGACAACGGAAATCCCGATGAAACCGTGTTGTTTTGTATTCGCACACCCTTGCCCTACCCAAGAAGTTAGGAAGACAATCGAAAGTCATGAATCCATGTTTCAGGTGTCAAAATGTGAAAGACAAGATGAAGCACTTTGCAAAAATAAACTTGTGGTAGTTGTTACATTTGCAAACAAGTCCGACCGTCATCATCTTGCATCTTTCATTGGTTGTGAGCTTCCTAAAGATGGTGATGATCCAAAGGAACTTGAATTATACATTCAGTGGGTTGCAAAATTCGGCTTCGATCACATTATTATTATTGGGGAGATTAACTATGGAATGGTTTTTTTAGACTGTTATGGTCGTGTATTTATGTGGGAGGATATGATGCAAGTTTTGTGGCCAATGGGAGGTTCTTTGGAAGAGGTGAAATTGAACCATGGAAAAGATAAATTGTTCTGGATTGTGGAGGATGATGGAATTGTATATGAGTTCGAACCACCACCTGAACGTACGTATGCAAAAAAATTTTTTATGGCCATATGTTCATTGTTTACTGATATTTTTTTCTTGTATTTATTTTTTCCCAGATGTATACACCACTACAAAAAAGGGAAAGAAAAAAAATTTTAAGAAAAAAAAGCACCAAAAACGTCATTAATATGGTTAAGAATGATGAAATAAACAACGTCCTTGATGTTACTATACTAACGAATAATTAACATATGCTAAATTACATATTGTTAATATGTGAAGTGATGCTATATTAATCAATAATGTCAAGCTAATAAAGTTCTGGGTTTTCGCTTTTACGTACATATGCACATATACTATATTATGCGTTACAAAAATAATGCACTTGAGATTTTATTGCTTAATAATTATGAATATTTAAAGTTTTAGATTTGGTCAATAAGACTCAATTCTCGAAGATGCTCCGGAATAACTATATATGGGTTTCATAATACCAGACATACCTTAAAACGATCCAGTTTTCTTCGCATAATTCTTTCTTGATCCCGTGCCTGCCGTTTGATAAGATTATTGGGATTGCAAATCCATTTTGTGAATAAAATATATCAAGTTCTAGTCCATTCAAATATTCCCGTATTTTTAATAATTCAGGCCTGCTGTTAAAATTTCGCAACATAACTTTCTCTTTTATATTTAGAGCAGAATGGACACCAGTTATTTCGATCTTTAACAGCATTAAGCGTTGCATACCGTATATATCCTTTAATATCAACACATTTCCATGATAAAGCCAAACGACTATTAATAAAATTTTCTATTACAAGCCACTTGTTTAGCATCTTCAAGTGTACAAGGTTTATTAGTCACACAATATGAACACCATGTTTTGTTATTTTTTATTATTAAAAGTTGCATTCCATTCATGTCCTTTAGAACAACGCCATAATAATGTTGACTTGTTATTAATAAATTTTTTAGAAAGACATTCTCCATTTTTATAATGTGCAATTTTTATAGCATTTTCAAGAGTGCAAGGTCTTCTATACAAATATTTTATGCATCAATTTTTACCATGTATAACGTTGTTATAGGTTGCTGACGATGACTTTTAGAGCATCTCCACTCTAATAATTCTTTGATATCTGTACATTGGATAGAAAGGCATAATCCACCTCTATCTATAACAATCTTTTTAGTGATTTCAAGATGAAAAGAATGCCGACCTACACAAATAACACCAAGTACTCTTATATTTTATTCTATTAAGTGGAATTTCCCATTCAAATCTTTAGAACATTTCCGTCTCAATGGTGTGTCAATATTAATATACTTATCTGAAAGGCACAAACCATTATGAGCTCTGTCAATATTACAAGCATCATTTAAAGTTGTTTTTAATCGATTGAGAATTAGCAAAGTTTCATATACAGTATATATGCTTCTATTAAATTCCACACAAAAATGAATTGTATTTTAAAAACAATTATCAGTTAAAACTAATATGGATGAACTAGTTAATCTTTTGTTAAATATTAACAAATGATCAAGAGAAAGAGTTGAACAGAAACCTTATCTGGCCATCTTTATCAAATTTAAAACAAGAGATAGAGGCTTTTTTAACTTCAACAATATAACAGAACTCAAAGAAAACTGACAGAAAGAATATAAAAAACTTAAAGGAAGATTTCAGAAAGTTTATCAATCAAAACACAAAGTATCAGAACTCAATATAAATGACAAATCCAAAATCAGACTCTTCCTAAATGCCAGCCTCTTTATTACTTACTTAAGATATATCAATATTTTTGATCTCAATCTTTTTTTTTTTCCGATGACTGATGTACACCTTGTTTTATTAGGTTTATAAAATTAGCATGTACAAATATGTTTTATACAAATTTTTCCACTATGTCTACCTGATAAAGCTATCTAAGCTAAGATTATTCCTAACTACAGGTCAGTTTATTGCCTTCCATTCTTCCTATATTATCAGCACCGGGGCCCTGATAGCATAGATAAAGTGCTAATGTGCCAGGATGTGCACCTTCCAGTTTCATCCACCATCCGATGAATAGAAACTCAAAGAACCGTATCCTAGAATGGTCAGCCGCAGACTAGCCATATCCAATAAGGAGTCTTTGTGGCTCTAGCTAGGTCTCTTAAAAAATCAGGATTTTCTTTTATAGTCTCGTGGACTATAGGGGTAAGGAAGCGTGCTCCATGCATGAGTATTGGGGAAAGTACCAAACTTGACAATGATTATCATAACACTGCCGGATGATCGTTACACCACTACACCTTTCTTGGTATCACAATCCTAACGCCTATTGAATCAACGTATGAATTGGCTTCTTATAGGAAACAGTGCATATTAGGTTATGGTGCCAGATATTATCTTGAGATGGTCCAGTTACCTTTACCTGAAACTGAACTTGGTATCTTGTAACAGCGATCAGAAGATGCCAATCTTCTGTCTCCTGGTTTGAGAATCCATGTTAGCCCCCTGGAGGATTCGAACTATTATCTTGAGATCTGACCTGTAGAGCACTAACTACTGTGCTATAGACCCACAGGTCTTTTTTAATCTCAATCTATATCATTTAATACAAATAGTAAAATATGAATGTAATTTCTAGTGCTATCTCAGAAATAACAAGTTAAACTATTATAACTTGCTGTAAAAAAACAAAAAGATTTTTAAAGATAATCTATCAAATCTATTTTTCTTTCTAGACCTAGTTTCAACACAAATAAAGGTCAAAATACAGTACTATATAAAATTTCAATTTTAGACAAAAGTACTATAGCAAATGTAGCAGGCTCTCTTTATTTATATTACAAATTTAATTTTCTTTCAGACTTCTATTTTTCTATACTTTCAGAATTATTTAATAAATCTAGCAACCTTTCCAAAGAAATTGCTTATATTTTTTCAATTAAAAGAAAAAAAAATCTCAAAAACTTAAGTGATCTAATTAGGAAACTCAAAAGATTCTTTATTATTTCTTCTAAAAATTTTTTTAACTATTTTGATTTTTTACTTTCAAAAACTTTTTTTTCTTTCTTTTATGATCAATTAGAGCCCAAATTTATTTATTTCTTTTTCTTAGACACATTTGTTTACTATATTAGAAAAGTCATTAGTAATTTTAAAACCAAATATTTCTTTTAATAACTTCTCTTTAATTTTTTTAAACACAAAAATCTTCTTTCAATATTTTCATCAATTATCAATAAATATAAATTCAAACTAAAAATTCAAATTCTCACTACAAATTCCTTTGATACACAATTCTTAATTAAAAATCTTAGAGATGATTATCAATTTTCTTTATTACTTGAACCACATTGGATTAATTTACAAATATTTCAAACTAACAAATTTAAACTTCCATCAAGACTAAAAAACATTAATTCAAACCTAAATATCAATCAACTATTATAGCAACTTTGATTTTTAAAAAAAATCCAAATTCTTTATAACCACTATAAATTTTAAAGAATTTCAAAAAATTAATTTGTTAACCTATACATTAACCTATCAAAGAACCTTGAAGAATCAACAGAATTTTAAAAGATAAAAGCTTAATATCTTTTGAGTTTCCTTTAATTGACAATAACTTTTTTTCAACTCTTATATATTAACTATATCAAATATTTCACTTTTTTAAACTTTCTGAATCTCTTATAATTAAAGAGACCATTCTAAACCAAAGTTTAATCTCATTCTCTTTTTAAGTTAGCCTCTTAATAAATACAATCATTCTTAACTCTGAAGCAATTACTTTGATATTATTTTATTCTTATATACCAATTCTCATATCCAAATAGTATCACTTGAACTATCTAACTATAATAATTCTAACAATATTCAAAACCTTATTACAATTCCTATCATTAATACCAAAAATCTTAATAATCTAACCAAACTCAAAATACTAATTAACACTATAAATAACAGATTAATTCTTTTATATACTGAAACAAAACTTTAAAAAAAACTTTTATCCAATTAATATTAATGAAAAAGTGATAATATATAACAAATCTAATATTCTAAAAAATAATACCATAATAGTCATTAGCAAAGATCTATTATCACATATATTCAAAATATATAATGTGTCTGAATTAAGGATCCTAACAATTCTCTTCAATTCTGTATTTGATTCTCAGGTTTATATTCAATTTAATAAGTGAAGCATTATTTTTAATAATGTTCTGAATCTCATGTGATTTTCTGTGATTCTGTTCAATTCTAATTTTCAGAACCATAGTCTAAATACTATTTCTTAATCATTCTAAAATTTAAAGAAAAATAAATATTCTTCTTATTGTAGTTTATCTTTTACATGAAAAAAAAGAAAGAGATCTAGCAATTAGACAAATTCAAATTTGCTGTTTATAACAAATTCCATTATTTGATCTTAGAAGTCTTCAACTTCTATTTCAAAAATAGCTCTCCATTAGAGTTAAAACTTTATATCACAAACAACTAATCTATAAATATCTTATCAACTATATAAATATAAGACAACAATATAACACCAAAGCATTCACATACTATACTGTCACTAGTGCTTTTCATATAGATCAGATATGGGTTTAAAGAAATCTTATATCTAAGTTAATTTAGTATAAAATATAGGAAGTTAATTTAATCCTGATAGATTACCAAACCATATTAATAAAACTAGACTATTTCAAATTCAGAAAAGCCAAACCAATATTCAAGTTTGATTTAAACAAGACTTAAAAGAAAATATCCTAAAATTCACCAAAAAAACTGGACTCCTGGTTTACTCTTTTACTATTATTCAATTGACATAACTTTTATAACATTTGTATTAATGTTCTTAGCAAATATATCAAGAAATCTAAAGTCAACTTTGTCAAAAAAGATTACTATTTTAATGCAAAAAAAATATTCAAAAAACAAATTAGGAAAGTTAACAAAACCAAGATACAACTCAAAAACAATCATTAATTCTTATTTTTTTTCAATTAAGAACTTCTATCTTTCTATAAAACTCTTAATTAAAACTTCAACATATTAGACAAAGGTCTTCAAAAACTAAAAACTTCTAATCAAGAAAGCTTTAATTCAATTTTAACAAGAATTTATCAGAGTTTTGCTTAAATCTAGAAAATATAGTGAAAAACTTCTATAGCTAACCAAAAAGCTAT